GGGGGGTGGCCGCGAGTGGCGCTTGTTCTTCATGTTGCGTTTTGTAACCTGGACGCCATATGGTCCTCTCCGAGCCGGGCCGGGCCGGGCGCCTCGCGGGGCAGGAGGCGCGGCGGAGGGGCTGTGCCCTGGCGCCATGCGGCTGCTGGGGCCATTATGGGCCCGATGGGCCCGATACCTTATCAAGCCACGCCGTGTAGCAACGTGATGTCACGACGGAGGGGGAAAAATATAAATAGTCGTAAGTGTCATAGGCACTACATGCAGGACATGCGCCACTTGCAGCACCTTGCGTCGAGGTCGGAGGAGGGAAACAAAAGTGGCACTTGATTATCTCGCGGCGGAAGATGATTGCGAGTCGGAACGAGTGGCGGTGACTCGGTGACTCATCCGCTCTCCTTGAGCGACTGGTGGCCGCCGCGTCGGGACCAGGATAGCGATGAGGGGCATGCCGCACGACAAACCACGGCGTCAGGGTGCAGGGGGGGGGCCCTGGGCCTGGGCTGGGCGGGGCGCGGGGCGTAGCGTATGGATGGCGGAGGGGCGAGGCGCGCGCGCTGCCTTGGCGCGTTCGATAGTTTGCCCTTGAGACGCCAGCCGCGCACCTGTACGCCGACACACACACACACACGTGACACACACACAGGTGCAGGACAGAGTAGTGCGAGTAGGCAGCAGCACGGCTGAGCGACGGCTGGCCTTGCAAATGGGAAGAGCTACATGGCGCGGGATACACGGCAATGAGAGAGTTAGGCCCACACGGCCCACAGCAGGTGCGCGTCGTATGCAGCACCGCGACCCGCACGCTCTGCACACTCTAATGAGAGAGCAGAGGGGAGAGCAGGTGCAATACTGCAAATCATTGAACGAGGAGCAAGCTGCATGAACGAACCTAACTAGAGCTCCGGACAACTTACCTTGGCAGAAAGATTTCAGTCCGCGCCAGAAGTGCGGGCCTACCCGAGCCTACCTGCAGCCCGAAAGCGCACCATGTGGCCCGGGCGAGCCGGGGCCCTGGCCGGGGCCCTGGCCGGGGGTCTGGCGCGGGGACCCGCAATAGGCTCCTGAGCGGACTGTATTTCTTTTGTTCTCCGGGTGTGATCTCCGAGGCAACTTTCTGCCAAGATAAGTTGTCCAGAGCTCTAACCGCCCCCCTGTGCCCCTGTCGCAGGACTCGCCGCTCGAGCTGACCCAGCCGAGACCATCGTCGCACCCACCGCCACTGGGGCCGCCGCTGGGGCCGCCGCCGCTGGGGCCCCACCTCAGCCCGCAGCCACCGCACCCGCCGCCGCCGCACCACACCCCGCAGCACCCCCTGCACCACCCCGCCCACCTCGCGCACCCGGGCCTGCCGCTGCGCGCCAAGAGAAAGACGCTGCACCACGATGACCTCATCCGCAGGTCGCCCGTCAACCTGCACGCCGAGCACCGTGAGTACCCGGGTGATATGCGCGAGCAGCACGAGCAGTGCGGCGACAAGTGTGCTGACTGACTCTGTCTCTGTGTCCGCCAGTCGGGGACGACTTCCTGGGCGGGCAGAAGGCCGACGCCGAGGGGCTGATGCTGTCGCTGGCCCGCAACTCGCCGCCGGAGAACTACGTGGTGACACCCCACCGCAAGCGGCGCCCGGGCTTCCAGAACTCACCCGCGCAGAACCCGCCGTTCGTGCCGCTCACCCTGTCCAGCCTGTGCCCGCCGGCCGGGTACGGGCTGGAGGACGTGCTGTCGCTGTCCCTGGCGCGGCAGCAGCGCGCCGCGCACCCCAGCCACCTGCCGCCCCAGCCGCACCCCCCGCACCACCCGTTGGGCCTCTCCGTCCTCAGCCTGCCCCCGCGGCCGCCCATGGCCGCCTCCTCGCCGCCGCCCCTCGTGGCCGACAGGTCCATGACGCCGCCGGGCGGCCACCACGTCCTCGCCGACGTCAAGTTCCGCCCGCCCTCCGTCGACGACAGGCTGGCCCTGGAGCGGCTCGAGCGGCTAGAGGGCCACCCGGCGCTGGAGAGGCTCGCCCACCACCCGCACCTCGGCGTGCACCACCCGGCCCACCACCAGCCCGCCGCCCACCAGCCACCCGCGCACGCCTTTCCCTTCGGGGGCCCCCCGCCCGCGGCGGACCGGCCCTGGGGCCCCTGGGGGCAGCTGGCACCGCACCCACCTCGGCCGCACACGCCCGAAGGAAGTGAGTACCTGCAACGAGTAGCTCTAGGTACACGTGTACCGGGTGCTTCATAGAAGACGCAGGTGCGGGCGGGTTTGCCTACCCGCTCTGCCCGTATAAGGAGCCATAACCCCTTGGGTAGGAAAACGCGCCCGCACCAGAGTCTTTTACGAAACACCCAGTACTTGTAACCGACCAATTGTCTTATTCGCACCGCGTACTCCCCCGCGTTATACTGTACCGCACACACGCGCTCAGGCGGCTCGCCTACTCGCTCGGGCCACAATGCGCCATAAGTCAATAGACAGTAGCTACAGGCAAGCTATAGGCAACCCGGCCGGCACGTGTGCGTGCGGTACAGTCTAACCACGGAAGTGGTTGGAACGAATCAGCCATCTAATGCCTACGCTGATTCTGACTTTGTTGACACTTTGCTTACCCGCCGGGAAGGACGCAGGTAAGACGAGACATTCCTCTATATGCTTCATCCGCTAGCATGACATGCGTTCGACAGCGATGCTTTCGGTAGTGTCGGTAGTTATTAGTGGAACAGTTTGTTGCTGACTTACCTTGACAGGTGAGAGACGTGTGGGCGAAGCGGACGGACTCACAACATCAACAAAGAGTCGCGCGACGCGCGCCACACGGCGTTGCTTGCTGTTGCACTGCATTGACGTCACGAGATCATAAAGCAGGGCGCCACAAACAGAGGCTGCTGGACACAAATGCAAAAGAAACAACGACATGAGACCGGGCCCCATCGTGACACGCCTTGAAGGGTAGAAGGGAGCTCTTGGACTCACCGTTCCTTTGTGTTGTCAGACGGCTTCGCCGCGCCCAACAACCACCTGATCCCCGAGGATGAGCGCTCGGACCGCAGCGGCAGCCTGAGCCTGGGCGAGAGGGACCGCGACGGACGGCGGAGCCCGGCCCGCAGTCCTCAGCAGAGCCCCCGCCGCAGCCCCAGCCCCAGCCCCGACGGCACCCCCGCCCCCAGGGACGGGGAGGGCGCCCTGTCCGAGGCGACCGAAGCCACCGACGGCGCCACCCGCGAGAGCTCGGGGAAGACCACGTCGACGAGGGAGTACCGGTGTCAGTACTGCGGCAAGCAGTTCGGCATGAGCTGGAACCTCAAGACGCACCTCCGCGTGCATACGGGCGAGAAGCCCTTCGCATGCAGGTGAGTGTCCGACCTGTGAGGCACCACGAGCCTCTGCTTATGCGTGTTGTGCTTAGTTGCATTCGCCATCTGAACCGTCCGCCTGTCTTGTTGTAGGTTGTGCGTCGCCATGTTCAAGCAGAAGGCCCACCTCCTCAAGCACCTGTGCTCGGTGCACCGCAACGTGATCGCGGGCGGCGACAGCAGAGGGCGAGGCGACGACGACGCCTCCCGATTCAACTGCTGCTTCTGCCACATGTCCTTTGAATCCTTACAAGAACTCATACGACATTTGTCTGGGCCTCATAACTCCCTGCTACTTAGCAAAAATTTGCATGAGTGATGATGAATCTGATAAAACAGTGAGTATGGGGATCTACATAATTAAGTATATAAAAAAAGAAACTCACTAGTGATGATGTGCTTGAGGAAGCTTTCACCGTCCATTTGAAAAAAATGATGTTTTTCATTATTTTCTGTGCTCATTCTCAGCCTTCCATGTATTTTAACTTAATATTAAGCATAGTCAAACGTCACACACTGCAAGATAGAAATGACTGATGGTTTCATGTCATCCCATCCGAATCTTCTCGCACTAACAAAACAGAGGGCACTGTGTTAATTTTCATTCCGAATTTCCCAAACCTTGTATTTTTAGATTTATTTCCTCTATTTTAAAGAATTACTAATTGAACCTGACAACAGCACATTCCTACACTTCACTGCCTCATACCTGTAATATTATAAAAATTTTAAGTGGTCATAATTTCTGTGATTAATTCAGTTTCTGAATATGAAAGTTTGATTTTAGTTTTGTTTTGGACCAACCTAATGATGATTCATTTATATTTATAGTTCAATTATTATGTTCAATAATATCTTGATCTCTTTCTCAATGATACATGGTGTGAAACAAGTTTGACCTCTATGCAAAAATGAGGTATATTTACTTAATAGCTTTGAAATTTCTTGAAATATTTTGAAGATAGAGATGACAATTTCTGAATTTTGAAACAATAACACAAATGGCTATAAATGACAAAGGAATAAAAGCAGACACTTGTACTATAGACCAGTTGAGCTGTTGTGAAAGTGACAACTGAAGTTTAAGAAAATAGAGGAGCTGTAAGGAATCATGGAAGTCTCACAAAGTTCGTTGAATCATTTGTTCCCTCAACGTGTTTCCACTTTCATAGCTGCTCAATTAGTGTACAGTATGATAATTCATACTATGTTTTTATATGCAAGCATAGGTAGAGAATGAGCTTTCTGTATACTGTACATTGAAGATATTTTGTAATTTAGTAATGCAGAAATGCTTTTGTGATATTGATGTTGATAAACTGCCTGGAGTATTAATAAGTGAGATAACTGTATTAAAACTTTGTTAGCAACAACAACGAAGTGAAAATACGCACAGCGGCAAAAGTTCTTGTAGCAAACAATAGCTTAGCTACAAAAGGTAATTATGGAAGGGGAAAAATTCAAATATTGATTGAGGTGTTCTGAGTTTGGAGAGTTGGCTTTGAAGATAGAAAAAAGAAAAAAAAGCCCAGCTACAGAGTCAGGCCATGTGTGATATGCCGTATTATTGTGATTTTGTATATTTTGTTTGTAAAAAAAAAAACTAGTTTAATATGCTAATTCTGTTGGAATCTACCAGTGAATTTTAATTGTAGTAGGCAAACCTGTTCAGTGTAAAATTTGTTTAGGATACTATACCTGTACAGTTTAGAATAATATTACTACCCCTCACATCCTAACATACCTGGAACAAACAGAAATGTGTATGGAAATGAGTAAGCCTTGCTGTTTTTCAGTAAGACCTCTCCTAAAGTGCTTTAAATTAATTCATAATATTTTGGTTTAACCATACTCTACTCATCAACTGACTGACTAAATTTGGCAGCTGATATCTATCAAATGCTGTCCTTGACATATAACAAATAGTATCAGTTAGTTGAATGAACAAAAGTACCTTGTTTATATAAGCTTTTATCTAGGGACCAAGCTGGTTTGATTGAACAATTTACTGATGAGGGGTGCATAGTACCTGAAACATTTCTAGTTTTTATGATAGATTCTGATGAAAATAAATAGAAACTTGATAAACCCTGTTCACTTTTAGTATTGCTTAAATCAAGACCAATTGCTTCCAATATACAAAGGAGCCCTGCCCTGCTCACGACAGCAAAGTAGCTATATGTTTCAAATACATATTTGGCCATTATTACAGTTCCTTACATAAGAAATATGTTTAAGATTGTTACCACTAGCACCTACAGGATATAATGAAATTCATGTTACAAATTTCCATAGCCTCTGCAGTACAGCACCATTTACCTATGAAAGGTTGTAACACGTTTTTCTGAACATTCTGGAAGCAATGACCAAATAAAGATGGAAAGAACTATGAAAATTGTTTGGTTTGATCAAACAGTTCCCCAAATAAAAAAAAACAACTAAAAATAATAAAAGTTTTTTTTTTATAAAACCGATTGGTTAAAGGGGGGACTAACATGCATCACTTTTTGCTGGGGCTTTTAGTTGGAGAACGTTTGCGTGGGCTCTTAGTATTAGGGGACAGAGCATAAGGACAAATTTCAACATTTAAACAAGTTGTACAATGAGGTCCAACTGGGCGACATATTTGCTGTCCAAATCCTACAAGCAGGTGATTTACTTCACTCCATAAATCAGATGGTAGCCAATCTTCCAAAGCTTTACGAGTCTCCTCCGGATTCTTAGTTGGATGAGGAACCCAACCAAGTCTATTGGAAATGCGGTGAACATGGGTGTCAACACCTGTAAAAATAAAATACTATAGACGAAGAAAGGGGTATAATTTAAAGGCACGGATGTATTATGCAGTTCAGTATACTTCAGCTTACCAATCCCTGTTACAACACCCCAAGCACAATTCATGCACAAATGTGCCATTTTGGGTCCGACACCAGGCAACTCGCACAATTTTTCAACTGTATCAGGTATGTCTCCATTGTATTTATCTAGCAAAATAGCAGAAGTTCGCTTGATGTACTGCACTTTTGTCTACATTTAGGAGACACACAGAAAGTCTGAGTAAGAAACCACTACACAGAATACAAATAATTTTAACAAGGGAAATTTGAAATGAATTATACCTTTTTAAAGCCAACAGGATGGATTAAATCTTCAAGTACTTTATCATCTGTCTTCAAAATATTTTCAATAGTGCAACCATGTTTACGAAGGCGCCCCATTGCCGCATGAGTTACTACATCCTTTGTTTGGCTAGACAGCATAAGTGAGAGAAGGGTTTGGTATCGCAAAATCTGTAGGGAAAAATTTCAAAAACAAAGAAATGTAATTTTTACATGGATGTAGAAATACATAATCAATGATTATTATGTGTGCACTTAGTACCTCAGGTGTGCCTTCATCTTCCATGCATTTGTCACATCCCATTGTATCAACAGGGGCATCAGCACTCTTTCGCATTTCCCTTATATTATGTAAAATTTGAATCCAATTTGATGGTTCCCATTTGTCTCTCTTCGTTTCTTTTTCGTATGCAATACTGACTTTGGCACGCTTCTTTGTCTGCCCTAACTCTGTCGTTGAGACCACGGAATTAGTAGGGTTCTGACCATGAGAAAGTTTAGTTTTTTCTGCCTTTTTAAAACGAGAGGAAAGAGACGTAGAACTTCCTGGCTCAGTCACTGTGTTAGATGCCTCACCACCATTACCATGATCTTCCGTGACAAGTACATTAGCATTGCTAGTTTTACGAGACGAACGGGTCACAGTTTTGGATGAATTCTCTTGTGAATCCTGATTTGATAATTTACTTTTCTCTGGCAGATTAGTCTTCTTGCTAGCAGCTCCTCTTGCTTCTCTACCCCTCATGACGAAAGGCCGCAAAACGATCCGGGTTTGAAAGGCACAGTAGAGAACTGACAGCTTAATGTTTAGACTTCTTGGAATTTTATGATGAGTGTCAGGCTACACAGAGAGGCTTTTCGTCGGCAACGCGCAGTTAAATCGTATGAACAAACTGTTACTGTTCCAAGCAAGCAATTACCCAACGAATCAAACATAAAATTTGTTTTTGTTTTGGTCACTATTTACACCGGGACCAGAAACAACCGGGAAGCGGGGCGGGAAGGAAAAGGCATTATTTACACACCAAAGGTGCGAATAACAGGCAACACAACTTCCGGTCCTCAGCTCCGACCGACAGCCCACTTCCCATCCCAACTAAATCTTCCGTTCTTCTCAGCCTCAGCTGGGTTGGAGGTGGAGAGGAAGGTTGTCCTGACTGTGTTGTGTGCAAATCGAAAATAACTTACTGTCTCAAATATTTTGACATTTGTCGAGAAAATTTAGGCAACAATGCCTTCAGAAGATTCACCGAGTTCTATACTAAGTTTTTTTTTGGCTGTCGGACGAGCTGTCGATGGGCCCGTCACTTGGTGGAGAGGTAAGTTACTTTAAATTTGATTTGGATTTCATCTCAAACTCATAGTTTTACTCTGAATCAACATTCACATTTTTTGATTTGTTTATAAATAGTCCTTTCTTTAATTTTCTGCTCTATTAAAGTTTGTTTTTTGTGAAAATTTGCAATGCAAACGTTGTTAACCTGATCATGGACCCTTCTGCAATGGTCCCTTCTGCTAATTGACATCTCTTTGGTGTTTTCAGAAACTATTGTTGAACCCAACCAAAAAAAGTACCATTGGTACCACAGGAAATACCCTCGAGTACCGACGGTAGACCAATGTAACGTCGATGATCCCATTTGCCAATTTGAGGCAGACTATCAACTTATGCGAGACAAGTGCGTAATACATCCATGTACTTGACATCTTTTTGTATCATCTGCTAAATATCTCAATCTTGTAGTCCTGGCGTGTAAAATCCTGTTCAACAGGTATTTTTATTTAAAATTAATTTTAGCGTGTCCTGTTTTTTTCCCTCAACAGACAAGTAGATGGACAGATTGTTTCAATTCTCCGGATGCGCTCTGAATTCTGCGTGCGATACCATGGTGGGCAGGATGTGGAAGCATTGAGGGAATGCAAACCTTTAATGGATGCTTATGAAGAGGCAGCTGCAAATTACTTCTGCAAGTGTAAGTAAAGTGAACATGTTTAACATCCTAAATAGGATTCTGTTATAAGTTCTTGATAGTACTGCAGATGATTTCATTTAACAGAATTTGGCTTTTTCAGATGGAGATTTAGGAGCAAAGCCAACAGCGAAGGATGTTTATATGAAGCAGAAGCACCGTATGATTTGGGAGCGTCGCCATGGAAAGGTTGGATCAGGAATGACAACCCAACCTCAAGAGGAATAATATCTAGCAATTTTATTGCTGTAGGACTTTCAATTATGTACCCGTAGCTTTCTACAAAATGCATAAATTTTACAAAACTTTTTATTGATGAACTCTAAATGTCTCTTTCTTGAAACCAGCCACTGACCTTTACAATTTAGGCCATACATGTACATACTAATTGTAGATTGTTTAATGTGAGGGTACAAGATTGTGTTACTGTCTAGATTTTAATTGAAAGGTGTAATTCTTTGTAAATATAACACCCATGGGTGTTTGTCACTGTTAATAAAAATCTATGAAAGTCTAACTATTGTGCCATTAGGATTTCATAATTTAAGGGGAAGTATGAAGAAAGTCCCAATTCATTTATTTCCAGTTCTTTATTACAAATCAACTCTTTACCCAAAAATGGTACATGTAAATAAAATAATCTTTACTAGAATTGCCACAGGACATAATACTGAAGGCAAGTCAGAATTTCGAAGGGTAGGGAGCACAGCTCGTACTAAACTAGAATTTGGCAGCTTTTGATGTGAGATTATCGAAAATCTTTCATTTCAAATGATAAGAGCATTAACAGCCCGCTCATTAGCATGTCCCAATTGGGAAAACATCAGTGAGCACAAAATGGCAGGTACATATCACAAACAGGGACACATGTGAAGCAAGAATAGAGCCTCAACAATGATACTGTGCTCAAAATCCTCGATCCCAATCGTCCCTCTGATACTCTGTGTAAACAGAGGGTAAAAGACAGCTATAATCATAGCTGAAAAATAGGCATCAACAGGAACTCCACATTTGATAGTAATTAAGTGCTGACTTCGACACAAGTTGGAATCTAGGATAATGAAACAAACGGGTTTGGTTATACTATCAAAGATTCACATGATAGATCTAATATAAGACACCTAAACAGAGATCAACAAATACCCATATAAGAACATAAGCTCTTTGATCATTCTTAAAAATTTGAAGTTGCAGATAATCAATAACTAACTTTTAGTATGAATAGTTGAACATTGTCAACATTTAGAGTGGCATCAGCAAGTTGAGAATAAAAGGAAAAGATCTTTATAAAGAAACATTTAATAAAAGTTTGCAAGCCCACATTAAATCAAATGTACACCACAAAATAGATTAAAAACAATGGTAATGGTACATGAAAATAATGGAAGAAACTATAATTATTTGTCAGGTACTTTAACAAAACTTGTATCTGCCTTCTTGCTCCCTATATCAAAGCAACGCAAACCTTTCCACACCTGATATTTGAGCAGGGAATGGAAACTATTAAAATAGTTCAAATTTTGTTAAGCTATTAAGTTAGATAGATCTAAGTAACTTTATAAAGGGAGTGATAGGGAATATTCTTTAACCTGCCATATGAAATTATGATGTTAAGTACAAGTCTAGTCCAGACAAATTCAGCCACACACTGCAAGCTGAGGAGTTGCTTTGAACTAGCAAAGTCACATTTTTAAAGTACAAATGGAATAAGTCATGATCGATCAGGTATGGTGATCAAAAGTTTCACATTGACAAGGGAAACAAGAACATGTTCCAATAACAAGAACAACATTGATTTCTAGAATGAAGTTTCAAAGACAGACTCAGACTACACACTGACCTCAAGCACAAATATGCAAACCTTGCAAAATGTTTCCACTATCAGATCACCTTGACATAAATTTTAAAGAAATGTAATCACAGCAAAATAGTCTGTACCACAAGAAATAAAAGGTACATATTACATGTCACATCCATCTGTACACTGTAAATTATACAGAAAACTCCTAAAAGCACTCCAGCAAGTTATGAACTTGCTCACTACTCCAAGATTTAAAACAAAAATATCAACTGACTTTCAAAATTGTTATGACATTATAACATGACAGCATTTTCTTCATTATAAAAAAATACATAAATAGTAAAAACGTTTAAGGCATGCTCTGCATTCGTTTGTCTCCATTTAGAGGCAGGAAAAATAAAAAGGATACTAGCTCTTAGGAACAAGAGCTCAGAATTCATTTGTTGACAATTAAAGCTATTCACCTCCAACCACTAACTACTACATCAACAATTTCACTTTCACCATAACTTTGTTTTCAACAAGAAAAATTACACTCTTTGCATGATCTAATGATCTTCACACAAAAGAAATATTGATAAGAAAAACTACTGAAAATGAGTAGACCTTAAGTTATCCCCCCAAATCTTCAAGAGCTGAAATCATAAGTCTTTATCACACAATGCTTTGCAAATTTTTCTTTACCCCAATAAGGGTTTTAAAGATACAAAATATTTCATCTCCATCATTGAAAAATCTTGGAATGAGAATGTAACTTGATGGCATTATAAGAAAGATTGATGCAAAAATTTAGTTGTCATTCCTAAGATACCAGAATACTATTGAAGGTCACATATAGTAATAAGAAAAAGTAAAATTACAAAGCAGAAATGGGAACTTCAGATTGTGCCACTGCTACTGTATAAGACAATTATCATGATACTACAAACTTATCATTGACATGCACTGAAAGTGACTGAATTAGAAAAAAAAAGTTGGCTATGGAATCAAAGCAAAGCACACAGCTCCAACAAAAAGCCCCTGTTTATACGAGGGGAAGTACCCAAGGTGACTAATGACTAATGGGCAAAAAATGATCGAATCGAACCCACGTGATTTCAAAACCTGTCTTAGTACACATTTGAAGCAAACATGTGTAAGAAATAAGAAAGAAAAATCATGTTCTCCGCAGTGCTACCTGATAACCATATAAACAATTGAATTTAGAGTGACTTGAATATAATACTACCACAATGTCAAAGCACTGAAATGCCACCATGTCTTCTCCTTCCTTACAGGCTTAAAACCTAATATAACAATCATAATGACAAAACAGGAGGATGTTTGCAATGGCTCTTAAAACACAAAGCCAGGCCAACAAGAAATGTCTACACATAACCTTGATTAACAATCTTGAATTATCACGATAAATATATCACAGCAGCACTCGGCCCTACAAAACAAAGTTTCTTCATTGAATAGGGACAAGAGGAGAACTGAACTGAATCGCAAGGCGTTGCTTTCCTGCAACAAAAACCAGTTTAGTCCAACAACAAGGAAGCATAGAGGAAAGGGTTTGGATAGAAACTTACGTTTTGAACGACCAGCATTCTGACTTGCATCTTGATTGGAACCAGGTGCTCCATCTTGAGTGCCTTCAGTAGCCTCATCTATAATAGAGGAATTTATACTTCCATCAGTAATTGAAAGTTTTTCCTCTTGATCTTTTATGTGTAAAAAATTTGACTTCTCATTGCTGCACAAAAGAAGAAATACGTATTGGTAGAAGATCTTCATTCATTCATAAACACATACATTTGCAAAAATAAAGTGTACTCACACATTATCTCCATGATGGGGGACGGTAGGTGAAGCAAGAGCCAAACGAGGCATAGGTAGTTCAGAAGGATGTGGTGGCTGAACAACGGGTAGAGAGGCATGAGGACTTGGTGGACTGGTGCTCTCAATTTCATCAAAACCATTAGGCAAAAGTGATGGTGTAGAGTCCAAAGAGCATGGAATAGAAATCGGGAGCTGTAAATAGACAAACATGAGACATTTAAGACTACAAGTAATGGAGTAAAATGGTCAGCATAAGGTCTCCAATTAGGAAAAAATAAAAAATCTGAAGATAATCAAATAGGAAAATATAGAAGAAACTGAGAGGAAAGTACCGTGAAGGAAGAATATCCACCATTTGATGTTTGAGGAGGACCCCATGCAAAGTGATGATTACTGTTATTGTGCAGTGGTTGCTGGCTGGTAGCAAACCCAAGTGGGCGATAACCTTGAGCCCCCCCTGAAGCACCAAATAGGCGCTGCTGCACCCAACAAGTCAAAAAACAAATGCAAACAAATGCAAAACAAAGAAGCAAGCAAATCAAAGAAGGAAATCTAGGTAGAATAATATTGATATTGAGAAAAGCAGACCAAAATAAACTATGCATTAACAAAACACAATGGTAGGAGAAAGCAAATACCTTGGCTGGGGATGGTTGATTTGACAAGTTCCTAATCAATTTCTTTAGGACAGTGTCAGGCGATTCACCAACTGAGCAGTGATCTGCTAAAAAGATAAATACACATTTCAAAAAAAAAAAACAATAATTTGCAGCTACAGGAAACAAAACATTTCAAAACAATACCTAAATTCAGTGTTTTCTTTGGAGAAGAATAATCACAGCTCTCAGGTACAAGATCAGTCCATCCTTTGGTCTCATTCAGGTTTGAAGTATTGTCTAAGAACAATTGATTTATGAGCAATTTGGAAGTAAATTAATGAACTATACAAACCAATATAGAATTACAAAATAACTGTACCATTTTGGCTGTGCTCCAAAACTAGAAAACGACGCTGACCCTTTCCCTTTACAGTAATAATATCATGCAATGCCTGAAGCAAAGCAGACACAGAAGAAAAGCCATACTGAGCAGGCTGCACAGCTTTGCCAAAACGTTGAATATAACTTGTTTCAAATGAGGAAAGTGGTAAACGACCTTCTGAATCTTGCAGTAGTTGATACACATTACGAGCAAACATCTGGAGAGGCTTCAAGCAAACATATTCCACAGAACCATTGACATCTTGAACCACCTTAGGAGAAAACATGGGTCAGTGAGTGCTACAAAAAAAAAAAGGTTGAGAGAAAAGAAAAGAAAACAACATACCTTAACCTCCAGTATGTCTTTGAAGTCTCTCAACAGATCATCAAAATTGCACTTACTACCAATGATTGTTTGATAGCAATCTTTAAACTCTGAAACTTTCATACGGCCATCTTCATGGGTCCACAAAATACGCCGCACATTTAAACTAATGGAATGTAGATGACTCTGATCCACAAGACCCACGAAAGTTCCAGTTGTAGTAAAATGAAGCTGAACAGATGGTAAAAATTAAAGACAGAAGAAACAAAAAAGCCTCTATGTCTGATCAAACAGTAGTTATACCTTAACCGAGAAATGTATAGCAGAGAATAAATCCTCCAATGAATTGAAGCCATAATCCTCAGGACGAAGAGCATAGCCTGAATTCAGAAGGAAATATTCTGATACAGCAGATAGTGGCATAAAAGAATGTCCATATTCCTGGACAATTGATGCCACTATGTCACCAAGAACTTGTAGACGCTGATTTAAAGTTAGCTGAACTCTACGATCACCCTCATCTCCTTCTGAAACCTATGTGGAAAAATAAAATTTTGTAACAATTTCAGCAAATATGCCAACAATTTGAGAGGTGTACCAACATACCTTAACTACATCTGGAATAGCCTCAAAAAGTTCAATGAGCTTAGAAAATCCATAATCAGACACTCTGCACTGCTTTCCAAAATGGTGGTGGTAGTATGGAATGAATTTACTGAAATCCATACTACATTGAGGAGCATACTGAAGCAGTTGGAGAACCTGTACAAGAGTTTCCATAAATAATTTAAAGAGTCAGGTACATGGACACAAAAGTGAACTGTCCTACAACATTACCTCAGTTGCAAACTGTTTAGTTTTCTCCATTTCCTCTTGGGTTTGTTCTCGTTTGGGAATTGCAATGAGAACATCTTTTGAGTTCTGAATAGAAGACACTAAAACTGTAGTTTCTGCGACCTCAGAGAGCAAGTCCTCCGCCCTACAGACTCCATAGTTAACAACTTCAAATGGCCTGTTCAAGACTCTCTGATATGCTGCTGGAAATTCTGAAAGGGTGACTTGTTTGCTATACTGCGCTTTTAGCACCCTTAACAAATCTGAGGTGAACCGCCGCACCTGAGCACGATGGGACAATGTCACCATTCTTTTGTTACCTTCACCAAGCACCTGTAAAGAGCAAAGTTATTAGCCAAGACAAAATAATATAGCACGACAAAGAAATTCTGCTGCAAATTTACCTGGACTATATTAGGCAGAGCCTCTAACAGTGGCATAAGCTTAGTGTAACCATAATCAGCAACTCTGCATTGACGGCCAAAGTGGTGGTGATACGCAGGGATAAAACGATTGAAAGAAATTTGGCAGTTTGGAGCAGTTTTCAACAAGTCTACAAGTTCACGGGAGAATAAAGCCAGAGGGCCAGCTAATGGAGGGCTAACATTTGAAGTAACAGAACTGCCATCAGTGTCATTAGCTGTTTCATTGTCAGCTCCACAAGCCCATCGAAGGTATTTGACACATCCAACTCCCTGGTAAAGTTCTATACCAGACACACATGAGACCAAATGTTCCAAAGCAACACCACCATCATCCACTTCTAAAGGTCCAAATTGAGCACTATAGCAGTGAGCAAAGCTTGGCAGGGGTAGACTACCACCATGTGACTGTAAAAGACTGTGCACTCTTTGTGTAAATAGTTTGAGACCCACATTAACATTTGGAAGAGTAGCAAGTTCCTGTTCAGCCCAACCTTTGTCTTGAGTATTGGGTTTCTGATAGTGCTGAGTACAGTACGGTAATTCCATCGCTGCCTGGCCATCCTGTTGTACAGCACCAGCCATCAAGGGTGAAGGAGTATTTCTGTGCTGAGGATTCAAGGACACCATTCTTCCATTCGGTTCTTCACTAACAAGACAAACGTCTCTGAGCTTGTACATATCCGACACACTTATTGTGGTTAGGTAGCGATTCTCAAACATTTCTCTGAACTTGAAGAGTGGTAGACGATGACCTGGGACTTCTTGCAACAATGAGACGATCTGAGAGCGTACTAGAGCAGGATTGATAGTTGGTCCATTCTGCGAGTATGATATCTGTATGCGTTTGAAGCCCACCTTCTTACGATGCAATTGAGAGATAGCATACTGAGCATCTTGCAGAGACTGCACTCTAACAGTTGCTGCAAGATTTCCATCTGATTGAACAAATACTGAAATGTGAAGCACAGACACATGCTCCCTGAACACAGCTTGAAGCACTCTCTTCATTTCCTTGGGATCCATATTTTGGTCTAGATTAGTGACCTGAAGTTCAACAGGTCCATTACCTCCTTGACTAGAATGCCTGGCTTGAGATTGAATTGGATTGAAGTATCTATCTGGTTCTTTGATGTCCATAACAGGGCTCGTCTTCGTGGTACTCCCCCAAGAACGACGATTCACTTGAGTCTGGTACAATTGATCAACATTCAAACTATACGGAGATGGAGTGCGACTCTTGGGTAGCGTTCCACTTCCATTGCTACCCAATTGGGTGCTCCATTGCACGCCATCTCCACCACCAGTCCGTGAATGAATGGTACTGTGGATCTGGGCAGACACTGATGATTGAGCAGATGGAGAGGGTGTGCGCGTTTGAGGCGCTGTGCAACCCCTCAATGGAGAAATATGGGGTTGAAGTCCAGATGACACTTCTTCCCAAGCGAGACTATCAGCCTGAACTTGAGGTGGCTCACTGACGTGCTTCCACAAATCTGGTGTAAAGTCCCCTGTGCCAGAGTTTGACAAGTTTGCAGTGAGCAAAGAGAGTGACTGGGAAGCCACCTGGAGTGAAGATGGATTCAACTTCCCATTAGATGAAGACTGCCACACCTGCTGTGATAGCTGGTATTGCCTTTGCTGTTGCTGCTGCTGTTGCAAAGTACATGCAGCCTTGGCATACATAGTAGGAAAAGTCTCACCCATTTGAGGTTGTGGTGATCTGCAACAGTAACAAATACAATAAGAAACAAGATTGATCTCTTCAGTAAAGAAAGCATAGACTAAGTCACTAACCCAGAGGACAATGAACCACCAGCATTGATGCCATGGTTCCAACCGTTCATTACAGATTGGTTCAGTGAATGACTGGGCTTAGAGACTGTCGATGGAACATTCCCAAGAACAATTCTGGGAGGTGGCGTATTCTTGTAGAAGTTAGCTGTACCAATCCCTGTTTGACTGATGTTAAATGGTAGAGCTGAATTTGACAGATTGCCTGCAAGGGATGTCGACCCAATGGAAGATGCCAATGAGGCAGAAGAAGCCAGAGAACTAGTAACACCATCAATTTTGGATCCATTGCCAAAGCCTTTAGAAAGATACATTCCTTGGGAAGTGCTTGGTGTTGAGCCAATTTGAGAATAATGGTTCAAGTCCTGAGGAAGAGGTAAATTGGAAATTTTGAGATCTTCTCCAAATCGTTGAGGTAGTCTCCTGACTGAAACAGAGCCACAGACGTTAACTTTGACAGCAAATACACATTGTCCAAGCACGAAGCAGAATGATCTAATACAAACCTCGGTTCCGGTCTGGGTTGGATTTAAGGGGAGACTCTTGCTCTTTCAGAGATACTTTCTGAGGTCGACTAACCAATATTTTGTTGCCTAAAACGTCTTGACCATCCATGCGCCTCTGAGCCCTGTATTGAACAGTCAAAACCGTAGTAATACGCATTGAACACCAGTAACCAACATAAAATGACGGATTAGACCGCCGATAGACCATGGTAGTAAAAGGAAGGGGAGAATAAAGTTCCATTGTCATGATTTCTAGAGATAATATGTCGGCTGCAATATCCCGTGAGCATGCTGCCGGGGCTGGGTTCAACGCCGACTAATTTTTATTTAATTATTGAGCCGCCGCATAAAAATGATCTTTGGCTAACAAGCACAATACTGGCATCCAGTTTACGTAGCACATTAAAAGTTACCGATAGACATGTACCTTCAGGAGACGGCCATCGTTTCCTCGACTAGTGAGTGATGACATGTGCTTCACAAGATTCCCAAGACCAACTGACAAATGAATGGTCTTCTTCTTTTTCAGAAACTATTTTCCTTCCTACACTAATGGCTATTGGCACTGAAACCAAGGCGACCGGCTTGTCAGGGTAGCGTGAGCGCTGAACGCTTTAACTGCAGCAGGCGTGTACTACAGGATCGCTTTTATTTTCCTTTTTTTGACAATTTGAAATATTTTAAGTCTATTCATTAACTAATTATTCTATGAATTTGGTTGGATAAAAGTCAGTACTGGAAGGCGGTGTTCTTTTCCCAGACTTTTTGAAAATCCTTAACTAGACAGGCCACCGCCCCACCGCCACGCCCCCACCCCCACCCCCTTTACGTTCGCAAAACAATCAACAGTTGTCAAAGACGTGCGAAACGAACCGGTGGTTACTAACATCAGGGTCAAGAAACTAGCATTAGAGCGATAATTTCAACTTGTCTTGATGAATAGGGTGAGTAGTTTTCACGCTCACAAAATATTGCGGGTTATGAAATGTGTTGGTGAGGGTGGTTAATTCAAACCTACCTGGTAGCAAATTCAATACTCGGAAATCGGATGATGGCCCGATCATAAATTATCTGTCCAACTCGGCCACCACAATTGTCTGATAACTTCCTGAGACGATTCTTGACTTTACCCATATCTTTGTCTGGAGGAATGTTAAATATAATGACCTCCACTGGTTGATTGCCAGACTGGAAAAAAAAAATATAAATGAAGAACACTGCAGTTAAGAGTTTTTCACTTGGTTAGAACCAACAGTCATATGGTGCAGTAGGGTAGTATTTATTTCACAGTAATTTATCTGTTGTGATTAACATTGTGGCAGTGATTATTCTCATCGCACACAAATGTTGTCAATTTATTTCTCATTTTCTGGAATATACTGGGTAAATTAGGTTGTATTACCACCATATAACTATCCGCTTTGGTCAAGTTAGTTTGTGCAGTTTATTTTGTGCAAAATTAAGTGCAAGCTCCAAGTTTTGGTCATTTCTTCAAAGTATGTTTTAATTTATAGATTGGAATCCTATCATATAGGCACAAAAAGACTTTCTTTAAATTTGTTAAGCAAGATTTGAGTAGTTTGATGGGGACAGGATTAATAAAACGCAGATGGAATTGATAAATTTCCTTCTTTGATTAATGTATATTCAAATTGGAGGACTTTGTTGGGTGAAATCATTACGGCAATCGTATTATGATTGTGATGCAATATAAATGACAATGAATCTTTTCACATTTGCTAAAATTCAAAACAAATTTGTTTTCAGTTTCAATCAAACTAATCTTTTGTTAGGACATGTGTTCTTTTTTGTTCATAATACACAACCCAGACCAAATAATAAATACTTTAGTGGAAGAATCATTTTTCTCATTACCAGCTTGTACAGTACGGTCAAAGTGGGAAACTAAATTAACTACAGTAAGGGTATTGTGCACTTGTTCATGCCAAAATTATGTCGATAACTTCTTACCTTGAATGCCCCTCGAAGAGGTAAATTCTCAACAAGACCACTAAAATTGTAGTGTTCATTTGCACATAAAATCAATGTTTCAGATGTATTATTATTGTGTATTAGAATGACGTGAATCTTTTTTCTGTAAGAAAATCTCAAATGTAGTAATTGGAGTACATAAGGTTTTCCATTATAAAACAAATTTACAAACCTGTGTCTTAAGTCTGTCAGGTCAGCTGCAAAGTTTACATCTCCTGATATAAGAATTATCGCGGCTGGACTCCCATAAATTTCTGCAAACCTTCGAATTGATTGCCTTAACTTTTCATCCGCTGCATTTTTACATGTTGCCGACACATGTATAAGATTGACCTGAAAAGTGAACAGCCTTTAAAAAAATCCTTTGTCTCAGGAAGTGGAATTCATAGGGAATAGAAAAGGGTCAGAATCGCAGAAATTTCACACCACTCTATATTTAAAGGAACCAAGACATTGTCCTATCGAGGCTCAACTTTTAATTAGAGGCTTCAGACTCGGCCTTGTTTGTCATCATTTCCCATGTAATAAGTAACCCTACAACAATAGATTAAAGAAGAATTATTACCTGAGCATCATTTAGTTCAGATACAATTTGTGCGTTTTCTTTTTTCACATCACAAACAACTAAAAACTCTGCTTCTCTTCTTCCTTCAAAGAACTTTTCTCGAATCAATTGAGCAACTGCTACTGCTGACCGACCTTTGGGAACCTAAAATAAAAATTAATGAGTATAAGTGTTAAACCACAACAAATAAAAATTAATTGAAAGTTGGAAACTAACCTGACAGTTTTCAATATCCCAAAAAACACCAATAGGTGGTAAAAAATTTGCTTGTGAGCGTAGACCTACTGGACTGCTGTCACTTTCATACCCTCTTACTGAATGAAATGGTCGATGGATTGGAACTGGTGATGACCTCAATTTAATGCTACTACTTCCAGAAACACCACCAAAACCAGTATCAGATTGACTACCTGCATGTCACAAATCAAAACAAATCTTTACGTAAGGTACATAGAATCTTAAAAACACCCCAAAGTTCACTTACCCGACTCTTTCTGCGCATACAGTTGGCAGTGAGATCCATGGTCATTGGCAAGCATAATGCTAGAACTTGCTAATCCTGCTGCATCAGATTGGCTGTCTGAGTTATCCTCAATGTCAGAAGCACTACCCGTTGTCAAGGAATTGTCTGATTCCCCATTCTCGAATGAAATGTGATTTGCTGAGATTCGTGATGACTGTGCAAAGAAAGGAGGAGGTGGGAAACGAAATGGGTTCTTTGGCGGGGAATCAGAAGAGGAAAGACTAGTTGGAATGGAGTGTCCAAATTCTGACCCATCCAGAGAGTATGAGTGACCAGATTCAACATCAAATGATCCACATCCTAAAAAGTCATGTGTGTCTGTAATGACAAAATAAAGGTAGAGTTGGAATTTGGAGCAAGCACAGGGTACTTAGCTAAATAATCAAGACTTACTTCTAGGCTTCTTTTTCCCCTCCATCTTTCTATTTTTAAAAATGTAATAAAGTGCTCTGTTATATGTTGACACACACTCATTCCTTTGGTTTCAACGTTGATTAATAATTCTTCTCGGATACATTGTACATCAGTTATACGACTTATAGATGACTAGAAAAATGCACCGCTGCTTGCTATCCTCATGGAACAACTCTCATCTGCAAAGCAAAAAAAAAAAACAAGTAAAATAGAACTGAATTTGAGATTACAGATCATAGAAAGTTAACCCACGGCTAACATTTTGAATCTGTCACTACTTCAATAAAGAACTCTGCTGGGTGATAAATTAAATTAACTTTGAAGAGGAAAAGAAGCAATAATATCAACATTTTTGATGACACTGTCCATTCCTGAGTGAAAACCAGTATTGGAGGTTAAGCACCTCATTCCTCCTTCATCCAAATATTTCTACAATTAGGAAGTACTTTCTACCAATAACTAGATGAAATTCGCACTGATCTCATCTTTAAGCACCAAACAAATTTTAATTTGTTTCTGCAAAAGTAATAGTTCCTCTGACAAAGCAGTATGTTAGTTTTCCATCTAAAATGGGCAAATTTTAACATGATTCTAGTAATAAAATTTGTTGAATACAAAGTATATATTTCTTCAGCTAAACAGTAATAGAACGTTCCAGATGAACTCTTATTAATACAACCGATTGATTGAACTTTCATAACCATTTTAAGGTATTCATTGTTTATATTGATTAGTAAGTACCTCAGTAGCAAGATAAAAACATTTTTTGCTCCCGTTTCATTCAAGCACTTCTAACCTTGACGTTTTCTAGAAAATCAATCATTATAATCTTAACATAGTCTACTTATATTATAAAAATTAAGTTTATTTTGTCTTTTTTGGTACAATTATTTTGAACGCAGGACAAGAAGATCAGAGAAATCTAAGGACTTGCAAACGCGAGCGTGGCCTTAATGGGTCACGGCGCCCTCGACTACACGTATTCAGGAAGCGGGAAGCCGTGTCGTGGAATCAAGATGCCGGTGAAGACGAAAGAACGGAAAGACAAGCGAGAGCGCGTGATTTCAAAGGTTTTGAAGCAATCGTAAATCGTTGCGGACGCGTTGTGTCAGATATAACTCTGGCTGCGTGAGTCTTATTACCTGTATACAGTAATTGAAATTGAAGATTGTGGCTCTCGCCGTCACCCTCCTCAGCAGTTAAGGCTAAAATGGAGGGCACCGAAAGACAACAATAGCTCCACAGCAATCAGCAGGCTAAGTAATGTAGTTTTAAGCGTGTCATTGTAACAGTGGCAGAAATAATATTTGCAACATAATTATGCCCGTGAACATGACAGAGACATGTTATGGTTTCCACAAAGGTCGTGGGCCCCACATTTTGTTGTTGCCGTGCGATCCCAGCCCCCCTTGCTCATCGAGACAATTTCCTACTGCTTGCTGGCCTTCTTCCTCTTCATCGCATGGATTGCCAGAACAATTAATTTTTCACGAGTGCTGAAAGGTAACTTTTCCTCCGACGGCTATTGTTTTCTTGTTGTAAATGTTCAGTCCCTTTTGAACTTCGTTCACACGTGTGGCCCATTTAGGTCCCTCTGCTGTTCATCCCTGCCGCTCAAGCACTGCGGATCAGCTGACAACGGGGGTCGTCGATCATGGCGAAATCGTGGAAGCCGATTTGCGTGACGTTGACGCTGTGGCCGCGGCAGTGGCAGAGCTTGGTCATGGCGACGCGAGCGCCGACTTTACGCCTCCCAAGAGTTGGCCCGATCCTGCTCCAGCGGCACCCCCGGTGGTTGGGCCAAAGGGCAGTAGCATCCCAGCCTGCGAAAGGGACTCCCTGTCCTGCAAACGCCAGCAAACTCAACACCACTGTGACGGGCCGGACGGCGGCGCCCGGCTGGGCGAAGATCCATCGGTCCTTCCCCCTGTCTGTTTTGTCGATGAAGAGAATGGCCCCTTACTCGACGATGACAGCTGGGCAGGTGCGGAGGGCCACGATGAAGAAGCAGACACGACGGAGGTGACTCTCCCCGAGGAGCCCCGGAGCACCATGGTGGCCTACGTGACGGCTCGCTATCAGGGCCTCAGGAAGGCGGCTCTGGCGGGGAAACTACCCGCTGAGGTCAACCAGGGTGCGTCCGCGTGGCCGCCCCCGCCTCGGCTACCCCCGCGCGCCGAGAGCGACCTCGTCACCATCCTGGCGAACGCTTTAGGACGGTCAAACGTGGGGGTGGCGCCGCCACTGCCCTGGTCCAAGTGGAAATGATTAAATCGGAGGATGCAATAATTAATTCGAAATGTGGATTATTATTATTTTTTTCGTCCCCTATTTCTTCTCGGCCTGTCATATGATATGGTCGCTGCTCTTAAACTGCGTCTGCTCGTCCGTCGGTGAGCCATGGAAGCGGAACTGCTGAAAGGGCGGAACCGCTAGGCTGGCGAGTGCAGTGCAATTTGGGCGTGGCGTGGCGCAGCGCAGCTCGGCTCGCGCCGCCGCGGCCGCGGCTCCCGTCGTCGCGAGTCGCGCGAGCGGAGCGATTTGCGGCGTGGCGTGGCGTGGCGGGGCGGACGCGTCGAGCAGTGGTTTCCCGTTCCGATCCAAAACCACTGCGCATCAGAGCTGCGCATGTTGCCGGTCCGGCTGTCATTTTCGACGTAGGTCTCTCTCGCATATTTCTCTAATGCTGTAATTTGCTCATTCTCCATTTCTGTGCCAATTATTGATGCTTGTTGAAACGGGGAACCATTGCCCTGCTGCGGCGAATGTGCGGTGAAGTCTTGGACCTTCTTTACTAGCGAAATTTGTGTTCGGTGCCGCCCTCCCACAGACAACCTGTCATATGTTTTGTTTGGTGAGCTTCTCCCAGTTCAAGCCCCTGTTTTTGCTCTTTTTAAGAAAATTGTCTATCATGCTGTACTTACATACTATTAGGGTTGACGCCACAACCTGCTGAACTCGTTAATTTCCTAACTTAGCATTGAGGACAGCCAGGGTGGATAGGTGCGTCTGCCGTCGGGGATGTTTTCGTTCAAGCAGAACACTCAGACCCCCAAACAAAGCTGAGAAGGGCTCCGGCCGCCCTTGTTTTGATTGATTTTTGCCCTGTTTGTGGAACCGTCCACCAAAGCGAACATTTAAAGCTCTATTATTGTATTTAGTAAGTGTTCTGTAAGGCCTTGGAAGAGTTAAGTCATGATATCTGTGATTCATAGATTTCTAGCCTTTGTACTCTTTCAGTCCTGTCAGACTAATGTTTTGTTTGATTGGTCAGGTTTCTGGAAATCATGTGGTGGACATTTCATTGTTTAATTTTTGAGTGTTTATAAATTTAATCTGTATCCCTGGTAATATCATATCTATATAATATACACACTCTGTCAAATTCACATTTTCTGTCATTTATTTACATAAGTCTTAAAATGGAGAGTGAGCAATAAGATTATAATTATCTTCAGTGTTTGTTCTTAACATCCATTTTATTGATTGTAGAAAGATTACATGCTTGTTTAAAACCTGAAAAATGGCGTGGCGCTTCAAAGCTTCAAAGTACAAGAATGCTGCACCAATTGTGCCCAAACCAGAGGCATGTATCCGAGATATATCTGTTGGTTCTTACCAAACCTATGGTAATAACATAGCAGCCTCTGCAGCTTTCATGGCATTCAATGTGGATCACAATGGTACTGTATATTCTACCTTCCGTTCTATTTACATATCTGATACACTATGTAACAATAATTTATTTCTGAATCACTGACATATTTAATTTTTATGTTTTCAAGGTTCAAGTTTGGCTGTTCTGCCAATTGATGACTGCGGAAGGAAAAGCAAGACTATGCCATTGCTTCATGCCCATACAGACACTGTTACTGATATGGATTTCTCTCCGTTTCATGACGGGCTTCTGGCTACAGGATCACAGGATTGCTTGGTTTGATTTTTGTCCCAACTCTGTTAAAAAAATAATAATTGTAAATTGTGTTTTTCATTTATTCATTATAATTCTTTAATTTCAGGTCAAGCTGTGGCACATCCCAGAGAGTGGTCTTCAGGAAAGTTTGAGCAATCCTCAGTGTGTTTTTTCTCATAAACAGCGGCGTGTGGAAGCTGTTCGTTTTCATCCCACGGCTGACTGCCTTCTAACTTCTACATCATACACAACTCTGACATTGTGGGATGTCGCTGCTCAGAAAGAGATCTTTTGTGAGTATTGTTCAGCATTTTAACACAGTTTTTGTGTTGTTTTATTTAATTAGTGATATGTTATTTTAATTTGATGGTTTCTGACCATGTTACTGTAATTTTCCAGCCAACAGTCAACATTCAGAGGTGATACAGTCTATGAGCTGGAAGACAGATGGTCGTCTCATTGTTACTTCTTGCAAGGACAAAAAACTTCGTGTTTATGACCCAAGGGCAACAACAAGCATCACTCATACCACTGATAGCCACCAAAGCATAAAAGATTCAAGAGTTGTGTGGTTAGGTGACTCAAATCGTATTTTGACCACTGGTTTTGATGCTGGAAGACTGAGACAAGTCTACATCCGAGATATAAGAAAATTTTCAGAGCCTGAAAAATCGTTGGAGCTGGATAGCTCAACTGGGTGGGTATCATGTAACTGAAGAAAGCTTATGTTATGTAGATTTTCTTAAGCCAAAAAGCTGAAAGTTTACTTTTATTTTCTTTCAGAATTCTAATGCCTCTCTTTGATCCTGATACAAACATGCTATTTCTTGCTGGCAAAGGTGACATAACAATCATGTACATGGAAGTTCTAGATCGTGAACCATTCCTTGTTGAAGGTATTCGCCACTCTGGCGAACAAACAAAGGGTGCTTGCCTTGTTCCTAAACGGGCACTAGCTGTTATGCAAGCTGAAGTTAACCGCTTGCTTCAGTTGACATCAAGCTCTGTAATTCCCATCATGTATCAAGTTCCAAGAAAGGTAAGTTGACTTCTTGCTTCAAACCAATCCTTGCAATGATGATGTTTGTCAAAAATTTGTAATTCTGATGCAGTCGTACCGAGACTTCCATGGTGATCTTTTCCCTGATACGGCTGGTTGTCATTCACTCAGTTCAGCCAGCCAGTGGAGTGGTGGTGATGACACTCCAGTGCCCAGAATCAGTTTGGATCCCAACAAAAAACTGGCTTCCCCGGTAAGAGTTACTCTTTTGTTGTCTGGAAATTGTACATATATTTGCCTTTCCCTGTGAAATGTCCTAATACAATATATGTGCATGAAAATATGTATGTGGTTTGCTTTTGGGTCTTCTGGGCTTGGAATTGGCATCTGAACTTTCTGCCTTGCTGGTTTCACTCTCAATGTATGCCTAACATCTTTCTGTGCATCAATTAATTTTCCCAGATTCATCGTGGTACACTTGCTCAGATAGCTCAAGATATAAAAGAAAGAGAAAGATCATCTCTCAAACCCTCCCATCCACAACCAATAGTGAAAAATATAAATCAAGGATGGCTTAAAGAAAAAGAGAATAGCCAGGAAATAGTTTGTGGTGTAAAAGCATTAAAGACTAAATTGGAAACCAAGGGCAATGACTTATTGGATGATTCTGTTGATGCTAAAAATGTTCAGAATGGAAGTGACCCTCACAATGTACCACCCAAACCTTTGCCTCGTGCGTCTCGTAACGGATCTTTGTCTGAGCTTAATGAGGAAATACCTCCTGTACCCAACAATCCTGCTCCATTAATTACAACTCCAAAGCCTGTTGCACGTCCACGCTCCAGTACCACAGGAGTTGTGGTAGGTGGTGGATACAAAGTAAGCTTTTATGTTTCTGCGGTTGTAGGTGGTTCTTTTCTCCTCTGAAACCTTATATGTAATATATCTAATTTCTGTTAACACTTTTGCATGTATTGTAAGCAAGCTTTTAGCCTTAGATCTCAATGACCTATCATTAATTTATACGGAATTATTACAGCCAAGACTGGGGCCCAAACCATTCACACCACCTAAACTCAACTTTGGTGTTGGATCTGGTGCTTCAGAGTCTGATTTAGCTGTTTCTCAAAACACTGATGAAGCATTGGCACAGCGAAATTCCCCTGAAGGAGCACCAGACACACCACCTTGTTGGTACAGCAATGGTACTACTGAGCACACAAATGGCTCCGAGAAAAATGGCAAAGCTGATATGCACAGCCTCAATGAAGAGTCTACTGGTTCTCCACCACACTCTGGTTCATCCTCCCCAGAGAAGCCTAAAACACCGAGCACATCAGAAAGAAGGAAGGTGTTCGAAAGTAGGGTTTCCTCAACAGAAAGCCAGCAAAATGTCGACGGTGTCACTTCCGCCGTTGATGGTGTCGTGTTGGATGATGTCAAAGGAGATTTTGATCGGAATGCTTCTCAAAGAAGCTCAATTGCAGAAAGACGTCGGCTTTATGAAAGTCGCTCCATGTCTATTCAAGATTCTGGTGCCAACAAAGCTAAAACGCCATCTCCTACACCGTTGCGCCGGAAAGACTCTCTCAAGAAAAATAACACTGAAGGTTCGTAGATGCGAAAGCAGTTCATATGATACAAATTTTTAGCATGTTTCTGATTAAGTTTCGTCTTTTAAATGGTTTTAGATGAAGTAAGAAAGCCTGCTCCATCTGTTCAACGTCAAATGTCGCATGAACCCACTAAATCAGCTAAGCTTGACGCTGCTGTCACTCCAACACCCAAACGAACTTCAACAGTTTTTGGTATATTGATTTGATTCATTTTGATACTGAATTTTTATGTTTTTAAGTATTGTCCCTGTAGCACTCCTCTCACAACTTTTTACAGGGAGAGTGTCGAAGTTTAGACACTTGAAAGGTAACCCAGGCCACAAATCCACACACATTGAAAATATCAGGAACATCAGTCGACAGATTTCTGGAGAGTGCGATGGCTTTCATGCCAACAAAGATCGTGTTGCAGTGCCACTTAGTGGACCTGGAGGAAGAATTGCTGTATTAGAACTCAGCCGTGCAGGAAAACTAGCAGATGGAGTAATTCCTGCTCTTGTCCATGGAGCTAATGTTATGGACTTTGCTTGGGACCCATTCAACTGCAGCAGACTGGCAGTTGGTAATATGAGCTTTTCTTTTTTTAATGTAAGGGTAGTAGAAGGAAATTGTGATTTTTTATAATTTTTCATCTATCTTTATTCTAGCTTGTGATGATGGAACAATTAAATTGTGGTTAATCAAAGCAGGAGGACTAACTGAGCCAACCAATGTCCCTGATGCACAATGGACAGCTCATTCAGAAAAAATTTATTTTATCAAGTTTCATCCAGTAGCAAAGGATGTTCTTGCATCATCCAGCTATGATATGACAATTCGCATCTGGGATCTTCAAACTCAGACTGAAAAAATGTCTCTGTTGGGCCACACAGATACGGTCTGGATTCTTTTTCTATTTGAAATTATAATACAATATGTATTTATAATAATTCTCTACATCAAATTTTTCTGACCGTAGATCTTCTGCATGGCTTGGTCTCCTTGTGGAGCCTTTTGTGCCACAGTGTGCAAGGATTTTAAAATCAGAGTTTATGAGCCAAGAGTGAGCTCTCAACCTGTTCGAGAAGGGAAGGGTCCCGCTGGTTCGCGTGGAGCACGAATTGTGTGGGCACTTGATGGAAATTACATTGTAGTGATGGGATTTGATAAGTACGATATTATTAAGTTTACTTCAAATAATTGATTGATAGTTTTTTCGGAATCTTCTTAGAACTATTTTTACATCTATTTATTATGATTATTATTACAGAGTATCAGAGCGACAGCTGAGTGTATACAAGTGCCATGCTCTGAATGTTCCAATGAATACTATAGGACTGGACGTGTCCCCTTCCATTTTGATACCGTTCTATGATGAAGACAGTTCAACTCTCTTTGTGACGGGCAGAGTATGTATCATGTCATATCTAAGATATTTGTTTACAAAAAAAAGGAAATTAGAAGAAGCCATGCATCACAAATTTTATTTGTATACTTACTATCTGTCTATCAAACAGGGAGATTCTACTTTATATGCATTTGAGGTGTCAGAGGAAGCCCCTTTTCTCTGTCCTTTGAGCCACCATCGTGCGGCATCTCTTCACCAAGGATTGTCCTTTTTACCCAAAAATTGTTGTGATGTGGCCAGTGTAGAGTTTGCTAAGGCCCTTCGTCTCACAAACAACTCAATTGAACCTTTGAGCTTCACTGTTCCACGCATCAAGGTAGGGCAGGGCAGTATGGCATGGTTTTAAACTTATTGTATACTGCACAAAGCTTTGGTTGTGTAATTTGTTGATCTTTTTGAATTCTAGTTGGATCTTTTCCAAGATGATCTATTCCCTGTCACTAAAGTCACTTGGGAGCCCACTATGTCTGCTAATGAGTGGTTTTCAGGAGTTCAGCGTCTCCCGAAAAGAATTAGCTTGTGTCCACCGGGAATGGATTCATGTAAGCCAAAATACAGTTCATTTCATGTGCTCAGCTTAACTCTAAATTGTATTTTTTTTCTATGTTTATCTCCTGTTGCTCATTCTGATTTCTGCTGTAGTATCAGACTCTCAGGGGGCTGCAGAGGTCTTGTCTACTGTTGCACCAGTATCTTCAGCTGTAAAAGGCGCCAACTGTATCAATGCCAATTCGAAAGCAGGATGGAGTGAAGATCTATCGGGATCGAAACGGAGAACAGAGCAGGTTGGTGGTGTGAAATTGCAATTCAGATTTTTATCTTCCCTAGGTTCTAGGGATGTAACTTTTCCCTTAAAAATGTTCTCTTAAAATACATTACTCAAATATCTCCAGATTCAACAATCAATGAGTAACCGTGTTGAAATGAACATGAAACTTGAACAAGATGATATGGAAGGAGTAGATGAGAAAGAATGGGTAAGATAAGAGATCTTCACAATCTCATTTCTCTTTGAATACCTTCATTTTTAAATTTCTTTATTTCCTTTTCAGGATGATTGAGGGAGGTCTTTGGCATCTCAAAAGTTGAAAGTTGTTTACAAATCATTCAACTCAGATAAAGTTAACTCAGTTTTACTATGTGTAGACTCACTACATGATACTCTGCACTTATCTTAAAGTTTTGCTACAATATTATAAATATGTACCATCTATCAAACAGCAGGCATACTTCCTCTTTAATTTATCTTATGGTACTGCGGAAGGGCTATTTTGGTGTAATGCTCTTTGATATTCCCTTCAAGCCATGAATTTTACCCTCTGGGTTCCTGAAGTTCTGAGATTGCACATCTATGATGCCATAAAAGATACTTATCATAACCGTAGCCACTTATTTGTTGAGTTTTTAATTTTTTTTAAATAATGTTCTGAAGCTATTAATGTTTTATGTTTTGTGATATTTTTCAGTCTTCAGTGTTCCTCTCCTTCTTTGTAAAGACTTCATCCACAGGAATGTATTATTTAGAGAGATTTATCTTTCTTACCTTAATTAAACTCATCTAGACTTCTGCACAGTTGAATCTGTCATCAGAGGTTAAATAGGATTAGAAGATACCTACACCCTGATATTAGAGCCAATCCTTTGTTGTGGCATTTCTCTCTGATGTTGAAAAGTATACTGCATTGCTGTATTTTGTATATTAACTGAGAGCATTCCTTTTACATGCATACCATATAATAATCAGCTTTTTAATTCTTGTGTCAAATGTACCTTTGACTGAGCTTAAATGTTTTGCGCATCTCATTCATTTTCAATGAACATTGAGGTTTTTTGATTATTATTTTTTTTCAATTTTTTGTGGTGATTGGAAGACTGAGAAAGGGTTCATATTAACATGTATGTACTGTCCTCCATTTAAGTGTTTGTCACTCCATAATTATATTGGTTGCCAAACCAATTTTTTCCCTTGAAACAATGAAAACATGCAGTTTTGCATAATCTCTTGTTGAATATCAAGTGAATCCTTGCATCATTTTTGGTTGTCACATTCTCATGAATGTGTGATGTGTACATTCCAGTTAAAATCCACTTTTAGTCCTGATTCTTGGGACCATAAAATCTTGTCTGCTCATCTACATTTTCAAAGATTGTTTAATGTAATAATTCAGATTTTAAAATTGCTATGTGATTGATGACACCCTCCTGTGTATATCAAACAGCTGGTAGCTGTTTTTTTTGTTTCATTAAGTGTATATTTTCATAATGTGCTAGTCTGCGCTTGATTCTAGTCCCCTATGGTAAATAATCCTTGTTAGAATATACTTAGGGGAGTTAGCTCATTATTTGGATAGGTAAAATTTTTATTGTGAAAAATGGAATTGGAAAATCTACTCCTCCTTTTCTCTCTCCTGTTTAATAAATTTAATGAGCTGTCCATAATTGTGATGTGACATTTCAAGGTTACTTAGATCTGTGTGTGTTGTATTCTACTGTGAAATTCCATCAAATTAGCTTATTTTTCTGTAAGTGGTAGATCAAATGGTGCACTACTTGAACTGTCGTCAGCCTCAGGCAGTCTTTTCCCTAATGATTGTTTGTGCTCTCTGTATTTGCTCATACATGAACTGCCATCATTGAACAATGTTGTTAAACCTTTTTATGTTTACATACAGTATATATTTCTTTCTTTCCTAGGGAGCAGTTGGTTTAATCATGACAGAAGCATGCCCTTCACTCATTCCCCCCC